CTTTCCTACCCCTTATCACTTGGGACTTACAGACCCTCCTACGGGCGCTATCTCCCAGATACCGGTCGAACCCCCGTTTCCCTCTCAAAACTACTCTATGCCCTCCCTATCACGTGGGCCCTACCCGACCCCGTGCTTTTCCCTCAACCTACTCGAAATTTCCTGCATGTTTTTTAGTGCCTTGAGTAGGCACAGTAACATCGTATCTTCCACAACCTTGACCAACTTGGCCAAAGCACCAAGAGAGACCTCCGGGACATAGCCCCGGAGGTTAGCTTCCCATAACGCATATGCGATGGAGCCGATGACCAGAGCCTGACTTGAGGTTGACGACCACAGTTTCTTCAAAGTCCCAGCCAGAGCCGACTTCTTGGTCTTCTTCTCTGAGTATGAGCTGTAATCCTGCATAGTCTGGTATGTGAGTTTTGCCTCCTTCCTCAGAGAGACCAGATTCTTCGTCTTAGGCACATACAACACACTCAGAGGACCCTCCAAGAGGTACACGGTACCTCCAAGGAAATGCCAGTAGTCCTTCGAGTCATCCTTCCTGACCAAATGCAGATTACTGTTGTAACTTGATTCAAATGTCCGGAACACATCACGGCAGTGTTTCGAATCTTCGCTCTGTCTTTTCCCGACGATCACTGTGATATCGTCGACAATCCTCCAGCCTGCAACAAGCCTCCGATCGGTCCCCAGTCCTGCCAAGAAGTGATACTCAGCCATGGCACAACTAATGGTCACCAAAATGGGGCTGGTGGACTTCCCCATTGGGATGCCCGATACCTGACGTCTGATCTCGTCCCTGCATGTGATAAACGCATGCTCCAAATCATAGTTCACTAATTTGTACATCATATCAACATACCCGTCGGTAGTCCGCCGAGTCTTGCTCAGAGTACACATCTTACCCCTCCTTGAGACCTTCACTTGCTTGCAGCCCCTGTTTGCATACCAGCTCAACAGTTCCCTTACTGCCTTCCTCACCGCGTTATGTGAAATCCTTGTAAACATGTCTTTAATATCGTAGCATCGGCCCTCAGCCCCTTCGCATTGTTCCGTAGTAAGCCTCTTCGTCGCAGTCAGAAGCCGCTGTGGTAACTCTTGTATGGAGTTCAAAAAGAAAGATTGTTCAGTAGGAAATTGTTTCATGAGATAGTGCAGGCACCTCCCTACCCTCCTTTGAGCAAGTCCAGCTGGGTCATTAGTCGCAGGAGCTATAGGTCTCCATCGTGTGAGATCCTTGGCTTTCGGAATCACGTAGGCTTTTCCAATCCGGCCGTTAGTCTTCCACTCCGCCGCTTTCTGCAGACCTTCGTCTTCGAAATCCTGCCTTGCTTGTCTCATCACAACCTTCTCGTCATACGGAACTTGAGCGTAGTCGGTATTCCATGAAAACATCTTGCCGAAAGCGTGCCTGTACAGCACAGGGCACACGACTGCTGTATCGCCTTGGTTTCGATCGATCGGGGCTAGCACAAGCCCTCGAAATCTCCTCGCCCATTGTGCAACCGTGGCGTCCTCCCAGGCCGCACTTCCGCAGGATACATCCTGCTTCTTCAAGAAACCATCCATAGGTGTCAGCACATCACCTCACAACTCTTCAAGTGCCTTGTGGCCTCTAAAATCGTGTTGACGAAATAGCCGTTGCTCATTGTCTCTGCGTGACGTGTCACGTTCTTCGCATTTTTGACAAATGCTGGGATATCATGTAGATCCGAGAAACGCGTCATAACGTGTCCCACATGGATAGGTAGGTCCAAACCCTGACATGCACATGCCTTCTCACCCACATTCACAAATTTTCGGTGATTATGAATGATCTCACCGACTGTTCTGTTCCTGCACCAAGTAACACGAATCCTACTCTTAATCAGATTCGCTTTTGCTTGGTCTGCAACGCACTTGGTCACGACCCCTTCGGTCGTCTCCCTGATCCTTCTCTTCACGATTCGCCGGTCATACAGCACCTTCACCTGCACTCTCTTCCTTATTCCCACCATCGTCTTCTTCCGTATTGCACGATCGATCTTTAAGCGTAGATCATTCTTCGTCTTCTTGTCACCGAAAAACCCCGCAGCGCGATAAAGACCAACCAGACGATTCGTGGAATGTGCCGCCAAGCCTTTAAACTGGAAAGGTTTCTTCAGCATGCCGCGTAGTTCTTGTAGCCTCTTTGAAGTCGTCGTAGGTGTCCTGGTGATCCCGAGTAATGTGCACACCGTCCCTTTCTGCAGTTCGCCCTTCGCTCTAGCAAACTCCATCTGTCTCCCGTCGATTCTTATCTTCGTCATCCCGAACAGGTTCTTGATCTTCTTCCAACCATCAGTCCATATCTCACTATTTTGGAACACTACCTTCCTCTGTGCCTTCGCGTCTTTTCTCCACTCTTCTTCCAACCACGTAAGAATCGATGTCCTTGCAGTTTTGCAACCTGCTTGTTTGAAGCTCACGGGAATACTCACTGTAGCTGATCCCTGCCTCAATCTCTTCCTCTCTCTCCTCCCTTTCCTCTTGCGGCTTCTTATGCCTAGTTCCTGCCCCCTCGTGTTGCACGTATTCAGACTAGGTGAGAAATCCCGGATCAGATGCATCTCGAATGCTCTATCGTCTGCCTCGTTTGCATGTCGCAGCGGGATGATGACAAAATTACCCAGCCCCGAACGTCTTATCCAGCGGTACAGCTTCGGCGAGTTTCCAATCGCTTCGGACCTTGCGATAGTCATGTGTTCTCGCCAGCGTTGCATCATGGGCCTCACTGTGCTTCCAACGTACGTCTTCTTCGAACATGGGTTTGCAATCACATAAACTCCAGGTTGTTTCAAGTCCAACATCTCAGGCGAACGAGCCATGTACTTTCGAAGCCACGGGATTTGTCCTCTCATTGCCAGCAGCACGGTTGTCGAGGTGATGACTCTATCAACATCTCCCACGAGATCGCCGCTCTTGCCCTGCCCCCAGAGAGCCGACCTCAGTCTTAAGTGGGAGTTCAAAGTTTTCCACAAGACTTCAATCGTAGGGGGCGCAGGTAGTCAATCGGATCCCTGTTCCTGCGGGGGTGCTGACTGGAGTGTCACACGTGCTGGCGCAGACTTGACTGACGACCTCGTCTCCTGCTTACTGTCTCTATTCGTCGGTCCCGGCACATCATCCCCGAGTTTCACCTCTGCCTGCTCGCTGTCAGCGTCGTGGCCCTCCGATTCTTCGAATCCTTTGTACGCTTGCATCACCTGCTCCCTAGCCAGCATATCGATGATCTCAGGCTTCTTCGTGTAACGTATTCCTTTCTTCTGACACATATTGCGCAAAAGGAAGGCTTTCTTCAACGACAGGATCTTCTGTGTGGATAGGCAGTAATCAATAATGCCTTCCCTCGAGCATTTCACAGCGAGTCCTTTATACCCGTTCTCCATCGGTGTCTTGGGTTCCTCTGCTTCCGTTCGGCCGCCCTCGAAGTTCAAACCTCTCCCAGTTGGGCTCCGACAAAAATCCCGAACGTTTCGATCCTCCTCGAATCCCGCCCCTATGTCATTCGCGTTTCTAAGTGCGTCATTGCCCTCTTCGTAGTTGCATCTCGACTTCTGCCTTGCCCTTGAACTCTCCCCCCGTTCTGTGGTAGTGTTCTTCTTTTCTGTAGTCACTGGCTTCTTTCCCCTCGCCTTCCGTCTTTCCTTCCGAGCCTTCTTCTTCTTCTTGATCCGTCGAATCGCTCTCCGGAGTTGTTCCTCCGAATCCGTCGTGTCGGTCTTCGAATCTTCCGATGTATCGTCTTCTGATTCGGAGGACGACGTTAATGATGGTGATCGGCCACGCTTCTTCATCGACCTTCCTGGTGTATTGATCCGGACCGTGTTTCTCCTCCGTGCCTCTTCTGCTTTACTGCGAGCTTCTTTGGCCTTCTGCTTCGCCTCCTCCGCCTTAGCTTTCGCTACAGCGACCTCTTCTTCCACCCTCTTGTTTTGCTTTCTCCATTTCTCCTCAATCCCCGATTCTAGTTGTAGGCGCATCTCCTCGGTTCTCCTGATAAAGTCGTGTTCCCGTCTTTTATCGTTCTCTTCTTGGATCCTCTGTAGCTCCTCCTCCCTTCTGCGTTCCTCAGTTTCGCGTTTCTCCTGCATGATCATCCTGTAATGCTGCCGGATTTTATCTAGCTCGTTATCGTCACTCCGTCCTTTTTCCATCCAACAGTCCCTTGAATAATGACAGGGTTTTCCACACGTATAGCATACTATGGAAGGTCTCCCGCCGGTACCTCCATTATTACAAATTCCTCCATATCTGTTGTTCCCGTTTCTACCATATCCACCCCCGTCGTTTCCTCCCTGGCTTCCGTAGGTGTTCGAAGTGCCCTGTTGATTCTGCTTCCGTAGGTGTTCGAAGTGCCCTGTTGATTCTGCCCCCCCTCATACTGGTTCTGCCCCCCACCGTACATCTTATCAGTTTCGGACTCAGTAACAATCATAGTCTTTCTTACCCGATCACGATCTCACCTTTCACCTTTTAAAACCGCCTAGCTGCCTGTCCGCTCAAAGCGTATGCATTCCCTTCCGCTATCCTATCTCTCTCCCACTACAGAACCACCTTTCTTAACGCTGCTCGTAGACACAGCCACCGTAAAGCTCGCGATACTCCCGGTTATTGTGCGCCTCAGAGTGTAGGTAGACTGCGGCCACACAGTCCATGTGGCAAACCATGACAACAACATGCAAATAATTCTCTCTGTCTTGAGAGCTCATCAATAAAAACCCACATACATAGCATGGAGCTCTCATCCTCTCTTCTCCCTTGTCCCTCCTTGTCCTCCCTAATTCCCATCACACCCTTGCCATCAACATTCCGTCGCCACCTTCTCCTCCATGAGCTTCGTAGTATCCTCGACGCGTTTCATGCGCCCACGTGCGAACTCGTCAGGAGGTGGAATACGAAATTCCGTAGCTCAGAGACAACTTCGACCGTGCTGTCGGGACTAAGTACCCTAGTACCCACCTTTCCTGTTCCCACTATCCCCTCCGAACGGTAGCATATTTCAAGAAACAATTCAAAAAACAAAAAGC